TCTACCAACTGCCCCCTTTCTACCTCTGGCACCAGTCTTTCATGCAGGTCTTCTAAAAAAATAAGAAGGCGTTCAGTGTTGTAGGGGCCAATCTCACATTTATGCAGGAGTACACCATTGTTGGAGATTGCAGCGCACATGGTGATGTTGGCTCCTCTCTGGCCCAGCACAGCAACCGTGGCCCTTTTGCCAATTATGTTTCTCCAACGGCGACGCCTTTTTGCCAGGTTGAAGCCAGCCTCGTCAACATAGATAAATTCATGACTCTCTGAAAGTAATTAGACACAGTGTGTATGTAACTGCTGTGCTGAACTGAAAATCTACTGTTTGTCCTAATGTATTCTAAGTTTATAGAATAGTTTACTGCAAAACAAACTGTGTATAGTGATGACTGTATTGCATAAACTTACCTGGACAAATTGGTGACGGAATTCTTTGATGCGTTCACTGTTCCTTTCGAAAGGAACTTTGTATAGTTGTTTCATTCGGAATCTGTCTTTAGCTAGAGTCCGAGAGATGGATGTTATGCTGATTGCTGCAATGTTCCCAAAGACAAGGTTTTCCTCTACAACTCTGGACTAAATGTCTTTCAGTTTTATTTGATTGTCAGCAGTCACCATGTTGACAATAGCAAATTCTTGTTCTTCATTCAGGACCTTTCTCCTGCTCCCTGAGGGAGGTAGACGTTGAATCCTTAGAGAGACAAAATGCAGTTCCATATCAGACACTGGAGGCATAAAGTCACTCTATACTGTAAATGGTAATTTTACAGTATTTACACTTTGGTGTAGGAGAAGCAATATCCTACCTGTTGGTTTCTCTGAAAATACGGACAGTAGATGCCACTGTGTCCAGGCTGATATTTGGCTGTACTCGTTCACCAGCCTCTCTGTATGATAGCCCGTGGTTTATGACATGGTCAATGATAGTGGCTCTTGTTTTATCAGTTACCTTAGCTCTGGTCCTTCGAGCGCCACCACGCATTCTTATTCTTCCCCACTCCTCTCCCTTGTCCTGGTACTTTTCTGTCTTTCTTTCTTTCTCTCCCTCTCTCTCTCTCTTATGTTGTGTTGCTCCAAAATGTTCCTTTTCCAGCCAAGA